CGGACAGTAGTGCACACTACATTCTCAACTGNATTTAATAATATTTTACTACAAAATTAATTATAAAAACTATATACAGTAGACTCTTGATAAGTCAAACTTCCTTAACTTGAGTTTTATTTATGCTCCAACTTAACTCCCATACATTCAATGTATTCTATGCTTCTATGAGTAAATTAATTTTGAGATCATATTTTGCTACTCAAAATTTAAGATCCAGACTTTATTTCATATTTAATTTTGTGCACTTTCTTTTGTGTTTTCAAAAAGATGGATGATATAATAAGTTGAAGATTGGTATTATATAGAATTATGCTTCTGATTGCAGAACAAAATTTAAAATTTTTAAATGTTTTGCACCTAAAGTAATGATCTTATTCTTAAACAAAAACTGACCAATAAAATCTAGGCTCTTTAAATTCATTATTTTAAAATTTTTTGAATTGAAAATTTAAAAATGTAACAACTGCATCTATGATTTGACAAGTTAATGAGTTATTGGCCAATCATATTTATAAGTTCATTTATATGTATCACCTTATTTGGAACTAAACATTTACACTGTATGAATTTTACTGTAAAGTTTGAATTTACAATGACATTTTCATTACTGATAAATGATCAATAAACCAGTGTATTAACTATTTTCATTCCAAAGTACAGTAAAGAGAAATGGCAAAAAGAGAAAGCTATAGATTTTGTTGATAGCAGAAAAGATATTTATCATAAATATTGGAAGAAAGCTAAAAGAAAAAATCAGAAATATCAAAAGAATTTAGCTTTCCATTGAATACTCTTTCTACATACTTCAGAAACAGTAAGAGGATTTTGGAAAACATCAATGAACAACAGGATCAGACAGAGCAGAAAATAAAGTGTAAATGTACTTATCTAGATCCATGGTGGCCAAACTGTGGCTCATGAGCTGCACATGGCTCTTTTAGACCCTGTATCTCCCACATAAATTATAAATATACACATATATATTAATATATATGTAACTTATGTAAAATACAGTTTAGATTATGTAGCTCTAAACTCTAAACATATATAAAATGGAGAATATTTCTGATATTGCTACCATTGTGACAAGGTTTGGCTATTGTTGGACCTAGATGCTGAAAAGTGCATGCTGAAGTAGTTTGTACAGTGTACAGACAAGAATATTCCTGTTGATGGAAATCTTACAAAGAAAGACGAATAATTCAAACAACAATTGAGACATCAATTTCAATGCAAGCAGTGAATGAAAAAATTTAAGAAGCATGGAATAGTTTTCAGTAAAATCTATGGTAAAAGTGCAGAAGTACAAGAGGAGAAATGTGCAAAGCAGTTGAAAAGTTTACCAGAAACTGTACAAAACTATTGCCTGGATAAAATTTTCAATGCAGACAAAATGGGCTTACTTTTAAATGTCTACCAGATAAAACAACGATGATCAAAAGTGATTCATGTCAGAAAGGTAAAAAAGTAAAGAACAAGTAACTTCCTTTGGGAGCAAACATGGCAGATGATAAAAAACTGCCATTGTTATTAATTGAAAAATTGTTCATGCATCAATGTTTTCACAATGCCAATATGCTAGCTATACTGTATGCAGCAAATAAGAAGTCATGAATGGTGTCAGAGCTTTTTCTAACTGGCTGTTGAAGTTAAGAGACCCACATGATTGCCAAAAACATAAAATTATTCTTTTTTATGAACAACTGATATAGCTTTCAGAATCATTGAATATGCATAACAGTTCAATTTTTACTACCAAATACAATTTTAGATTGCAATCTTTAGGAAATCAGGAAATCATTCCAAAGTTTAAATTATGATACAGAGCATTTATCAAAGACTTTGCATATTATTGAAGATGAATCACAAGTTTGGAGTGAATATGTAAGATGCAATAACAAAGCTTGGAATTACGTTCTGCAAAGTACCATTGAAAATTGCTTTACAAAAGCAAATTTCATTCAAATTTTTGTTAATACTTTGAATAAATTAAATTTTCTGTCAAAATCCATTAACTGTATCAAAGAAGACTCTCATAACAATGAAAGTGTCATTCAATGATTTTTGTTAACATTGACAATAATCTAGCTATCTGCAGACACTTATTTGAAGATGACATTCTGAAGTAAAGAACCAAGTGCAAAAAATAAGTGATGAAAATCAGGAAGAAATAAATTTTGTCAATAATAAATATCTTACTTCCCCTACATGTAGGAAAGCCAGAAAGTTCTCAAGCCTTTAAGGGACTTTCTAGAAACTATATTATTCAAAAAACAAGATTCTTTTGAGGCAGTCATCCTCAATTTACTCCCTGAAACACAGTATAAACACTAAGTGTAAGAAATACAAATGTTAACCAATTAGGTTTTACTTCTTCTAGCCATTTATTCTCTTTTTCTATTCTTTCTGAGGCTAGAAATTCATTCACTACATTTATACATAGTCCTGATTGCATTCCTTTCATTTTTTATAAGAAATTAGTACCTTTGTCAGCCTCTATTTTCCTTCACTTATTTCCTCAGATCCTAGACATTGGCTACATACCTGCCCAGTGTACTCATTCAGTTATTTCTGTTGTCGAAAAGAAAAAAAAAAGCTTAACTCTTATCATCCAATTTCTTTAGTTCCTGCTATGTTGAAATTATTTGAAATCTGTCTGTATAAAATCATGTACTTCCCCATTACCTCCCATTTATGTACTGTTCAACATTCCGATATAAAACATCACTCTACTACAAGCAATCTCCTTGAAATTCAACTTGTTACTCTATAGAAATTTGAATTAAAACGCCCTATCTATGTGGCATAAATCAATATTGCAAAAGCTTTTGATTCTGTAATTTTAAATATTCTGTTAGACAAATTATTTTCCAAATTTGAAACCAATGGCATCATTTTGATCTGGCTTAACGATTTCTTCCTATTACATTCATGTCAGATTAAAATTTCCAATTTTTTCTTTTCACCATTGATAGGTATACTTCAGGGTTCTATTCTTAGCAACTTACTGTTCATATAAAAAGACACTAGTATTATTTCTTCATTCATAAATATATATGCTGATGACATTGATTTTGCCAATAGCTGTCATCATATGTTACAATGTGATATTAATAAACTTAATATCTTATTTAAGAAGTTAAATTTAAAAATAAACTCTAACAAGACTAAAATAATGATGTATAGCCTAATGAGAGCACCAACTTGTAATACCATTTTTACTAGTAATCAAAGACTGGAAATCGTTGATAGAGTCCAGGACCTAGGTGTTAAATTTGATTCAAAACTCTCATTCAAACAGCATATAGGAAATTTAATCAAACAAGTCTCAATTCATAGGAAAATGCTATAGCAAAATTTTACAGTAACTTCTAGTAAACACATACTCAGAGTATTATTTTTCACCAACATACAGTCTACAATAGCTATGCCTTACCTATTTGGACTTCCATTCCTTCATCTACTCTAAACAAACTTTATTCAGAATTGGCTAAAATTTATATTTTGCTTATTAACAGTTAGTCTAATGCCAACAGAAATTGGCTGTTTTCTATCTTATATATGTATATATGTGTATATATATATATATATATAATTGACAGTCAGCAAATGCAATAACCAAATTATATTATATAATATTTGAAAAAATAATCACATAGACAACAAATGCTTTCAAACAGCTTGACTGCCTGCTTCAGGTCAGTTATACTATAAAATGAGAATTCTAAATGGAATACATATACAGGTAACCCCCGTATAACACGGCACTTCTATAGCATGGATTCACTCTAACACTGTTCGAGAATTGGTACCATCCCCCATATAACACAGTACTTTTATAGCACGGATTTACTCTGACACGGTTCGAGAATTGGGTAAAACCCTCGTACAACAGAAAATGTAATAAATTTTTACATACTTAACTAATAATAGTTCACGAAAATTATTATTTTCGTGAACTATTAGTACTTAAGTATGTAAATTTTCTCTTCTCGCCTTCTGTCGATACACGTGGTCCTTCTCGAAACTTGTTTCAATGTTGCCAGATCGCGACGCTTCTGCTTCTGATGTTGCCGAATGTTTTTCCCTTATTCCATACTTGCTTTATTCTTCATAAGTGCTTAGCACCATATAAGGAAATTTATAAAGACCTTTTAACTAGAAGGCAAAAGGTAAAGCATGGATCTGAAGATAATGCAGAAAAATGCTCAGAGGATAAGGATAACTTGCCAAAAAGAAAACGCTCTCGGTTAATTAATAGTGTTTTTAGTGATGACAAAGAAAACATTGTTTAATTTATATTAATATGTATCACTTAAAACAATTTTAATGAAGATATTTATCTTAATTATGAAAATATACTAACATGTTTTTTAATTTTTGGAACCTAACTCTCCTTTTTGTAATAGTTCTTTGTTTCGTATAACACGGATTCGCATAACATAGCAAGTTTTTGGAACGTAACTACTGTGTTATATGGGGGTTACCTGTATAACTGACCTAAAGCAGGTCAGTCCAGCTGTTCAAAAATGTTTGTCATTTGTAATGTACTGCTAGAATAAAGCAAAGGTTATCTATGTGAATATTATTTGTATATTTTTAAATTTTCTTTCCTTTTTAATACATAATATTTGTTCTCTATAAACAAATTTATCAGTGTGAAGAAGTAACACTGCAGATTCTCAAAGGCAATGCAATAATTCTGGCCTCTGCTATATTATCTGAATTAAATATTGGTATTGGTTATATAGATAAAAAATACTATAGTTTTATAAATCCTATATGAAGAAGCAAAATTACAAATTCTGAAGTGTGATGCAATAATTCTGAAAATTAAATTAAATCTTACAAAATTAATTCTTAGAATAAATTAACAGTAAAAATAAACAGTAAAAATTGACAGTTTAATGAATATTTTAGTAAAGATTATATTTAGCAACAATTATTAATAGTTTGTTACTATTAAAAAGTAATTTTAAAAAGATAATTTTTAATACCTATATTAACTTCAACATTTTCTGGATAGTTTGCTATTCTAATTAAATTTCTGTCCCTTAGAAGAAGAAATATTTCATCTTTACAAGTAGTTAAATCTATAATATTGTCAAAATTCCAACAGCAACCAATAATTTTTTTTTCAATAGGATCGATAATAAGCAATGATGTTTCATTCCAAGAAATCAAATATCGATCACAATATAATTTTAGTAGACTTAGTTGCACATTGTTTGGTGGTAAAGTATGTTGAGATTTCTGTATTTGTATAAAAGGTACATTTTTCTTCATTAGTTCCTTAAGAATAACTGTTTCAATCACGTTTCCATCAGAGCCACATTTCCACAAATGAAGATTAGGTCGAGCAGAATATATAACATAATCATAATTTAAACATGTTGGAAAAAATGTGATTCCATATTTTCCCAAGCTAGAAAAATAAATAAAATAAATTTTAATAATTTTATATAATCATTTTTATTAATAAATTACCTCTTTAACATGAATTTAACAGATGGCATCAAATATATTTTTGAAAAACATAAAATTAATTAATTAAAAATAAACCAATATAAAAAATTATAAAAGACAAAAAATATAGAAATTTG